ACGCCGTCCCCTGCCCTCGCACAACCCCATGGCGTGCGCTCGCCTTTTTTTTGACGAGCGTGAGTGCCCGAAACCGCTTTGAGCGCGTTTGAGCGCGGTAGGGGGGTCTTTAAGCGCGCGCTCTCGCGCTGATGCACGCTCAAACGGTTTCATAGCCAGAATGCACTGCGCATGCCATCTGCAGTTTGCCATCGATAACCCGAAAGGCGATCTATCTCCTCAAGGGAGAAGAAGGGCGCCACGTACGACCTGCATGCACGGATCACTTACCGGACGTGAGTAATGTCCCCACTGTTTCTTTATGAAAGAAAACTCATTGGCGATACCACTAAATCATTGCGAATGCTCTCACTTTGCCTCGCCTGTCTAAAGTAAATAAAGACGATAGCCGGAAAAACCCGATCGATAGATCGCGTACTGTCGATCATCATGAGTGTCGAATTGACGATGACTGATTGAGACCGACCCTTGCGATTGATTGGGCTGCCATGTGGACTGAATGCCTCAACCCGACTGGGCGTCGACCTCTCGTATCCCCGCCACGTCCCTTCCCATACAACGAGAAAATGACACGTGTATGCGAGTGGGACGTACGAAAAGCCGTTGCCAAGATCGGCGGCCCATACTATTTCCCTCCTGCAACTCGGTGCTTAGGGTTTGTTGGTGCTGGTTTTGTCATTATCGATACACATTTCACGCCTTGTTCGTTGCTATTACCGGTTAATGAGTTGATCGTCATTCCGTGGACGGCAGTGGCGCCCCATTGGCCTAACACTCTGTGCAGCGATTGATGTCGCTTCGAGCGTTACCAATCAAAAGGCTTCCACTACCAAGTACGGAGTGAGGACGAACATAAGGAACGAGCTACACAGCTGAGACCCTCCACGTCAGATTCTGAGTTGTGTAATGAGCGGCGTCGGGACTTGATCCAAAAGCGAGACACCAAGTGTGTACCCGCTCCTTTCCACTCAAAGCGGAGAGCAACGCCCCGATGGGAAGTTCAACGATACTTCTTGGATTGAACTTGGATTTCGATTTTGTCCGTGTCCCCACACTCAATTTTTCAAAAATCCTTGGCACACCCCATCTCGCTGTCCTTCTGGGCCCCCCCTCCGCAATTTAAAACACTCTGAACGGAAGACAGCACAGGGCGTGAGGTTGCGCGTCACAGGTGCAGGTTTCAGGCTGACACCCGCGGGCCGATATGTGGTGTACTGGTGCTTTAAGGCATAATTTGCCTGGGCGGATTTCCCCTGCGTGCTAAGCTTTGCCACAACGACAGCCTGGCACTTTTTCTTTTCTTTTGGCTGGCACATCCAGCCATTTCGGTCGGGTATCCCCGAGCCTCCGAGCTTTTCAGACTTGGCGAATTTTGATTCTCAAATTCGTTTGGGTCATGTACCGGTGGTTTAAGGCATACTGCACGACCATCTTCCCCCGATCACTTGGCACCCTGATCGTGAATGTATGAAAGCTATCTTTTCCGTCCCATATAGTCATGATGCGCGTGTGTTGTATTGAGGGGAAGATGGTAGCCACACTTTGTTAGGTGCCACCTCAACATGTGTGTGTCTCACCAAAATAGCACCTCTCGTTCAAGTGACTTGATCGTCCATGGCTTGGAAGCAAGTGCATCTGACGCCGGCCTAAGTGTATCTATGACTAGACCTCTCTGTGAGCGGAATGGGCAGCTATGCAAGCCAACTAGTAGGGTTGCAGTTCCTTAGCCTGCAACATATATATATATATATATATGTATATATATATATATATATATATATATATATATATATCGTCAAATAGAACTGCCCGGTAAACCGTAGGCATATATATATATATATATAGCACCTAGAAAACACATTTCGTTAGCTTGAGGAAGCAAATGGTTGTGGCTCCAACCTAATTGCAGCGATGGCTATGAACAGATGCAAGTAATCCCTAACGAACAAAAGAAGTCCCTAAAAGTTGTGTGTCTATTCAACGTGCAACGGAAATGTTACAACGCCGTTGTACCCGTTGAATAGCCCCCAGGGCCCCGTTGAATCCCCGTTGAATAGTACAACAGGCCCTCCTCGTTGAATACTGTTCAACGGGGAGGGCGCATTGGGCCTCGGACACGGCGCTGGACACGCGTGGAGCAAAAAAAAAATGTCATCCCGTTGAATCCGTTGAATCCCGTTGAATCCCGTTGAATCCCCGTTGAATCCCCGTTGAATCCCGTTGAATCCCGTTGAATCACTGTTGAATCCCCGTTGAACAAAAAAAAAACGTGTCAGGGTTGGTTTTTTATTTTTTCTCATTTTTTTAATGGATGAAAAAAAAAAATTGTGCGTGTGGTGCTTGAAAAACCCTACACGCCGATATTTTTTTTTTCTAATTTTGACCTTTTTTTTATTATAGAAAACTAAAAAAAACGAAAAGAGATCATTCTATTCTACAACCCTCCGTGTGTGTGTGTGTGTGTGATTGGGGGGGGGGGGGGGG